ATATATGGATGGATAGATAGCTTGGTAAGTAGATAGGACGATGGATAGATGATAGATAATAATAGGCAAGTAGATACATATATAGATGGAATTTTTCAATTTTTCTTAAAAGATAAAAGACTTTTAAATTATGGTCAAAGTCCTTATTAGGTCAATGCAGGCTATTTGCTTTGTTTTTGTTTAATTTTAATATGAATGAAATAAGGCTAAATCCCATACCAAGGGGATTAAAGGAAGAAAGAAAGGGAAAAGGAAAGTTTAACGAAAACTGAAGACACAGCAGAACCCAGCACAGAGCTATGGTGAGGGATAGTGGTACAAATGTCAGGGTTATGATGGATGTACTTAAAGATATGCATAACTCCATCCTCAGCCAGATTTACCAGGGTCACTTATGTTCCCAGTACAGTGTCTTGCCCTCAACAATCTGTGGAAAGAACATTTTTAGAAGATGAAAAGATTTCTTTAGAATTCAGACTGTGGCTTTGACAAAGTGTGAATATAAAAAAAAATATAAAGAAGAAAATGAAAAGAAAAAAATTGGCTTTTCATGGACTGATAACACAAGATATTTTCACTCTTATAATTATATCTTTTAAAGTGTGTAACATAGACTATGTACTGTTTCTTTGGAGACTGAGTCCAAGATTTTGAGCTTCGTAACAGAAGTGAGAAATTAATTGTAAGAACTTGTAAGTTTCTTTCCGTAAGTATAATTCTCTTAAACAAATTCCTTTTAAGGACTGAGGATGTATTAATAGGTTGGTGGTAGAGTGTCTATGTAGAAGGCCCTAGGTTAGGTCCCTAGTACCGTACCAAACAAGAAAGCAAGCCAGCCAGGCAGACAAATTTCTTCTTAATGTTTGTGATTTCTAGCTGGTGAAACTAATTAAAAAGGAATTCCAAATATACTCTGATAAGATTTAGTTCTTGGTTATTCACAGTTGTACCTACATGTAAATCCTTGATAACCTGCTTCCTGCTCACATAAGCAAATGTAATATTATCTTTCCTAAATTTCTGCAGTATGATTTATTTATTAATAGATGGAAAAAATGAAATGGAGGCATCATGGTTTGATAGCAACTATCTGCCCTTTGGAGTCAGACACTTCCTACCTGTGTAGCTTGGGCAGATCACTTAATCTCAGGTGATTACAAATATTTTTTTCTTCAGACTACTGAAAAGACTTGCTTTGCAGGGCTGGGTACATTAAGTGTTTTGAGGACATAGGGACAGGTAGGCATTTATAAATGACTACTTATTTGTGATTTTGCCTAGAACCTGTGCCATTTTAACATTGTATAACTTTTACTTTACCTGTGTTTAGCTTCTGCCTAAAGTCCTTTGTCATTTAACACTGTTTAATTTTTACTTTACCTATGTTTAGCTTCTCATTTATGTTTTTTCCCCCAACTATCTGTGTCTGGGATAAGTTACATATTATAAGTTCTCAAAACTCATCTGTTATGCTCATTCATTGGCTTTTATTTGGGGTTTAATATGTGAGGTGCTAAGTATATGAAAATTGGTCTAACAAAGGTCTGTCTTGAATACTTTTCAACTGTCTACAGTGGTGACATGTTTGAAGTTGAGTGATAAAGTTGGAGTCTATGCTTTTGCTTTGTTGATAAAAAGCCTTTGCTTATAAATTACTATCCGTGAAACAGTGTCAGCAGTAACATCTATCTAGGAGTGACTGCCCCTGCCAAACCCTGAATAAAAGATGGCTGTATCTCATGATGTCCAAGACTCTTGCTATATAAGTATTAAGTTGTTGGACTAAGGACATTACTTAGCTAAACGCTGACAAGGACACTTCAGGAAGTGGGTGGCTCCATGGAGAACTATACATGTCTTTTGTTGGGTCTAGTGATGGATGCCAAAATTATAGGGATTCATTAGGAAGTCTCCATACAATACTGAGGCTTCTAAGTTCAAAAAAAGTAAGTACAATAGACAAATACAAATTTATTAAACTTTCTAAATGGAAAATTGCTTATTTAAACTTAGCCTTAAGGTCACTAAAATGTTTTTATTGAAGTTACTTCTTTTGTTCTAAGACAGCACTTCCTTTAAATATAGAAAAGTAAATTATACACAAAATTCACTTATATTTAAAAGTATATATCTCAAAATTCTAATATTAACAGTGATTTATATACTCTTTGAAAGTTGTTGAAGTACTTATTGTTGTTTAAAAGCAATCTTGCTAAAGGTTAAAAACTAATATGCCAGGTTAAAGCAGAAATGCTGTTTTAAATTGCCTACCTTATTTTCCATTTATACAAAATGCATTTGTAACACACATCTCAATCAAAAGGTTAAGAGCCCTAATGCCCAGGAATCCTACAAATTGATAAGCAAATGATGTTTTAAATCTCAGTGAAAAATTTGACAAAAGATAAGAATAGGCAAGTTACAGAAAAGAAAAGCCAACTGGTAAGGGGAGTGCAAGTGAAAACACATGCTGCTTGTCATCCTTTAATTTTCAAATACTACCGAATAAAGCACACCCCGTGTTGTTTAGAATGTATAGGAAGACCTATGGCCATTGATGATAGGAGTGCATATTTCTATAATATTCAAAAGAGAAATTTATAAAAATCAATGAACGAGTATACTCTTTGATTTAGGAAATTATTTTATTATTTTAATTAATTTCTAAAATTAGTATGCACAGTAATGGGCTTCATTGTAACATTTTTATACTTAGATGTCATCATATTCTGTTCTTTTTTATCCCCCTCAACCACTCTTCCCCCTCCCCCTCTTTCTGATCTCCTTCCTCCCCACAAATAGTCCTCCCTCTGCTATCATGTCACAAGTATTCTGTTATCTTCATTCTCTCCCCATCACCTTAAGATTTTTTCCTCCCCTTTTCTCCCCTTTCTACTTTCTGATCTACACACACACACACACACACACACACACACGCCCCTGGGGGGGGGGAGGGTTCCACATATGAAAGAAAATATGTAATATTCATCTTTCTGAGTATGGCTTATTTCACTTAATATCTCCAGTTCCATTTCATAATTTGATTTTTTTTCTTTGCGACTAAATGGAATTACACTGTGTATATGTACTGTTTTCTTATCCCCTCATGTATTGACAGACATGTAAGATGGTTCTTTTTAACTATTGTGAACAAAGCAATGATAAACATGGATGCGCAAGTATTTCTGTAATTTCTTGACTGACTATCCTTCGGGTAAATAACCAAGAGAAGGCCCAAGCTTGTCTTACAGTAGCTCCAGGTTTAGTTCTCCAAGGAAGCTCCCCAATGACTTCATAGTGACTGCAAAAGTTTATGATTTAAAATGTATATCTAGCTGGGCGTGGTGGTGCACGCTTTTAATCCCAGCATTTGGGAGGCAGAGGCAGGCAGATCTCTGTGAGTTTGAGGCCAGCCTGCTCTACATAGTGAGTTCCAGGTTAGCTGGGGCTACAGGGAGACCCTGTCTCAAAAGACCAAGAAAATGTATATCTAAAAGTAGTTTGCAGTATCACTTTTCCTTTGGATAATTTCTTTGCCTTAATCCCCTAATGCTTTAAACTAGGGGGATTAGATCATACACCATACCAATATTTACTGAGTAACAGAATTTCAGAATCTAAAAGTGCTTTCTTAAAATGTGAGGAAGGGGCTGGAGAGATGGCTCAGAGGTTAAGAACACTCGCTGTTCTTGCAGAAGAGCCGGGTTCGAATCCCAGCACCCACATGGCAGCTAACAACTGTCCATAACTCCAGTCTCAGGGGATCCAACAGCCTCTTCTGACCTCCGTGGGCATTGCACGACATGGGTACACTTACCTACATGCAGGCAACACATGCATACACATAAAATAAAATAAAATTAAAATTAAATAAAATAAATGTGAGGAAATAGATATTTCCCATTACTTGAGAACTGGCTTCTCCAAGTTATAACAATTACTTCTATTTCTCATTTTTAAGACATGTAACTTTTCTGTTTTAACATTAGTAATGTAAGATACATTCACATGATGGCACGGGGTGCTTTGTTAGTTTTTCTTAGAGATACAAAAATATCATGCTGTACCTTATTGTCAGTGGTAATTGGCTTTAATAAAATACAGAAGAGACAGTGAAAATGGAGAAGGGAGAATATTTTCAGAATGTTGGGTTTTAACCCGGGCAGTGTGGGACACAGAGGAAAAAGAAAAGAGTCCAAGGAGCAGTAAGTTCATCCATGTGGCTGGAATTTTCCTTTGTGCTATATTCTTGGGACATGATGGTCATTTAACAAGACAGCAAGGCCTGAGAATGAGGGACCAGTTATTTGAATGTTTGCTCAATCCCTGTCTCTTTATCATACTTTCTCCTTCTAATAGAGGGAATTCAGTTTAAGGTGGGATGAAGAGTAGTTTCAGAAAAAGATAATATAAAGAAGTAAGTGGAGGACAGAAGAATTCTTACAGGGGAACTCTATAAATCAAAATTGTTTTAAAACAGATCATCGTGGGGAACCAATTTATATTCAGTAGTACTTTACACTGAGGCATTTCAATTAAAAATGGTAGTAAGTTAAAAGTACACTATAGGAATGATCAGTGAATATGCCAATTCAGCTGATATGCAAAGAAAGCAGAGAAATTAATAGTAATGGGACAGCAAGATGGCTCTGTGGGTAAAGGTGCTTGCTGCTAAGCCTAACCGCCTGAGTTCCTCCTTACAACCCACATGGTGGAATGTAGAACTGACTCATGCAAATTGTCCTCTGACTGCTGTATGCCTCACTTCATGAATAAATGAACACAGTAACATTTTAAAATATTTAAAAACTAATATCCATATTTCCTCTTATGAATACTGTATGTGGCTTTAGTGTAGATTATTCTCTACATTAGTTTTCTACTTTATTTCTTGGCCAAGTTCAAATTCCTGGGATAAGTTTTATTTATTGCCAATGCTTTCATTGTGTAAAACTCTTTGAAATGCATTTGAGAGAATTAAAAATCTTGCGTTTACTTACTTGAATTCCAAAATGTTCATTTCGTGCTGATAATCTCCCTGGACCATCTTTAAATTTGAAGAGTGCTCAGAAGTGGAAGCCTCAATCTTTCCTAAGAGCTGCATTACCTAATGGAATTACAAGAGGGAGCATTTGTGCAGGAGCACCACCACCAGTACTCGTGTGACTTATACTTTATTCCTAAAGGAGTCAGAAAACACACCTCAACCTAGAGCATGTCTGCATTAGAAAATGGTTCACAGTTATAGTTACACCATTCTCATGGAGAGAATAATAGTAAGCGTTCCATTTCATTGTCTGTAATTTTTTTACATAATAGGTTTTCTGATGATACAGTAAAAATAAGCTATAGCCATCGGTTTGTTTATTAATTCAATCTTATTATTTCTTTACTTCCTCCAGTCACAGGTATCCTGTCCCCAGCTATATTTTTAGCCTTATCAGGTGACTGATGGTAAAAGCTAGATAGTTAATGAATGAAAGTTAAAATACTTGGGTTAGAGAGATGGCTCAGTGGTTAAGAACACTGACTGTTCTTGCAGAAGACATGGGTTCGAATCCCAACACCCACATGTCAGCCAACAACTGTCTGTAACCAGCTCCAGGGGATCCAACTGCCTCTTCGGTCCCCAGAAGACATTGCATGATACGGGTGCATTTACCTACATGCAGGCAATACACGCATACACATAAAAATAATAAATAAAATTTTTAAAAAGTTAAATATTCAAACACATAATAAATATTTAAGTCCACAGTCAAGCTCTGAGTAAAACACACATATCTACCATAAGATTTGATCTCAGTGAGTTCCATATAGTATTCTGACTTAACTACAAGTAAGCAAGTTATAAAATAACTTAGGAAATATAGAGACAGGAAAAGAGAAGTTCCAGAGCTTTGAGGAAGCTGCCTTAAAAACAAATGCACAATGACAGCACATGATTGAGTCTAAACTAATAACTGTCACAGAAACTAAAACCACATGACCAGCTTTGGTCAAGAAGGATTCAGGGCCTGCAGAAGACCAGCCCCGGAAGAAGGGCTTCTTAACAATCAGTAGTTCCCTTGGCAAAGAAAGAGGCCACAGTGAGCAACCAACAGCATCTGAATGATTTCTTTTTTGCAAGATATATATGAATGATTAACACAGTAAAGGCACCAGGGGAGAAAATAAAACAACAGGTTAATACACGGATGGGAAAGGTAGAGAAAAAAGAAAACAGGCAGGAAAATGTTAATGCTGAAGCATTGATTCAGGACACAGTATGTTAGAGTGGGGCACATAGAATCTTTAAAAAAATTGTTTTATTATTTTATGTATATAAGTATTACCTGCATGTGTGTAAGTGCACCCATGTCGTGCAATGCCCACAGAGGTCAGAAGAAGGTGTCAGATCCCTTGGAACTGGAGTTATGGACATGTTAGCTGCTAAATATTCAAACACATAATAAATATTTAAGTCCACAGTCAAGCTCTGAGTAAAACACACATATCTACCATAAGATTTGATCTCAGTGAGTTCCATATAGTATTCTGACTTAACTACAAGTAAGCAAGTTATAAAATAACTTAGGAAATATAGAGACAGGAAAAGAGAAGTTCCAGAGCTTTGAGGAAGCTGCCTTAAAAACAAATGCACAATGACAGCACATGATTGAGTCTAAACTAATAACTGTCACAGAAACTAAAACCACATGACCAGCTTTGGTCAAGAAGGATTCAGGGCCTGCAGAAGACCAGTCCCGGAAGAAGGGCTTCTTAACAATCAGTAGTTCCCTTGGCAAAGAAAGAGGCCACAGTGAGCAACCAACAGCATCTGAATGATTTCTTTTTTGCAAGATATATATGAATGATTAACACAGTAAAGGCACCAGGGGAGAAAATAAAACAACAGGTTAATACACGGATGGGAAAGGTAGAGAAAAAAGAAAACAGGCAGGAAAATGTTAATGCTGAAGCATTGATTCAGGACACAGTATGTTAGAGTGGGGCACATAGAATCTTTAAAAAAATTGTTTTATTATTTTATGTATATAAGTATTACCTGCATGTGTGTAAGTGCACCCATGTCGTGCAATGCCCACAGAGGTCAGAAGAAGGTGTCAGATCCCTTGGAACTGGAGTTATGGACAGTTGTTAGCTGCCATGTGGGTGCTGGGAATTGAACCTGGGTTCTCTGTAAGAGCAGCCAGTGCTCTTAATTGCTGAACCTTCTCTCCAGCCCCACAAATACAATCTTTATAGATGAAGAACAGAACCCATACTAAGGAATTTTAAACCTTATTTACTTTAAAAAGCAATAAATAGAGTTTCAGAATAAATAAACACAGGATATATTAGTGATTTTTTAAAAATGACTTCTTGGTTCTTTACTGGTCAAATATATAAAATACAGACAAGGATACAAGAAGATCTGTAAAATATAAATTTTACTTAATAGCTGCATATACCAACCTAATCACTTGCAAACAGGCAGCACTCATTCTTTCCTAGAGGCTGTGAGAATCGTCAACAACTAAGCACTGTGTCTATAAAGAAAATTTCTAATTGCTCTAAATGCAAGAAAAGCATGGGCTATAGCTCTTTACTGCACTAAAACCAGAAACTGCTAAGAAAAAGCACATATGAAGAAATAAAAGTCCAGCCACTTAAATGCAAAAACACTATTTTCATTCTAGTGTTTTGCTTGACAAGGTATCTCTGATATCTACTGTAAGGAGCCTACTTGGCCACAGACCTTGACTTCTGTGCTCTAAACCAGCAGTGTCCTGGGTGCTCTGACTTTCCAGGTGTTCCCTGCCATGTCTGGGTGGTGTCTTCCCATGGGTGGCTTTTTTTAAAGAACTCAATGAACTGCTCTATGTGGCATCACAGCTGAAGCCTTCCTTCCCTGTCTATTTCACAGGCTCTAGATCTGTACTACAGTCAGAAGAATTTCCCTATCTTCACCAGAGCTCTCGCCATCTTTCTGATTAGATACTCCTTCAGTGAATCTTTTCTCATCTAATTCCCTTATGACATTTGCTTCTTAAAGGATTTGGACTAACTCAGAGAGCAAATCAACACTGCAATCAAATTTACCTAGGAAAAGCGAATGTACATATTACCTATGAACAACAGGGCACAGTCAAATCTATAGTCAAATAGTGATTTAAGATAGCTAGGTATCAGTGGGCATAAAGAGTGAGTCAGAAAGTGTTGCCAGAGGCAAAGTCCACTGGAGAAATGGTCTCTAAAATCCAGGCCCAAGGGTGTTAATGCTTTTTGTAAGAGATTCAAACCACTGCAGGGTTTTAAATAGCTTTACAACATGATCAATTGCATTAACATTGAAACTTTCATAATAACAGCTTCCAAGGGAAATTCCTTTGTGTCTAATCCTCAACTCCACAGTGTCTGAGGGGAGTCAAACAGTAAGTAAATACTGTCTGTGATATAAGCCGGCCATGCTCACAATGGAAGCCTGTGCTGGGACATAGAGGCACTCACCTGACTAGGCTGTTTGATAAGCTATAATCACCTTACTGCCAGTAGTAACTTACAACATCTTATAATAATCCCATCCCTTTTCAGTTACCTTCATATCCAAGTTCTTGGAAACAGTTTCTAGGGTAGACATGAGCTCTTGGACTGCCCTTTCAATTTGCCGGTACTCATGCCTGATGAAATGAATGTCTCCAGAAAGTTTCACAATGCTTGAATCACATCTAGCGTCAAGATGGAAATCTGTGTGAGATCAGTATGTTCAAAATGCTGTGATACGGTAGACTCTGTGCCTTCACTTGATGGCCAAGTTTCCAAGTTCTTTAAGTAGGTTGGAGAATGTAGGAGCATGCACAGAACTTCCCTCACTTTTTTTTCTTTACTCTTTCCAAAGGGGGAAAAACCAGGTTGGACACATGGGCCCAACTGTAGTACCAAGATACTAGGGTGAATTGGGGGAAATTTTACATTTTTAGCCATAAAGATTTTAACAGGTTTTAATATTTGGAAAATATACTCTTCCATCTATGGTTAGACAAGTTTGCTAATTTGTCCTCTTCCATATCAGGTTCTAAATTCACTTTCCTCTTTCCCCCAACCCCCCAACTGCCAATTTTCCTTTGGCTAGAAAGTGTGCGAACCATTCCAATTCATCTTCAAAAAACAATTTTCCATTCTCTTAACTGCAAACAAAACTCCTGTTCCTTGTATGGTCTCAAATGGGTGTCATCTCATAGGATAAAAGCTGTTCACACTGACATCTGAGTGCAACTTTATCCTTAGGCAGCATTTGGTATTTTAGAAAAGGAATGCTGATGAGATGGTGCATTGCAGGAGGAAGAAAAATACAGAACCCACCCCTTTAACCAGTCCCCAAACCTCTCTTGGAGGCAGCAAGCTACATATTGCATTAGTGATCAGTCAGTCAGTGCTTAACTATGAATGAATGATAAGACAGAGAGCACGGACGAAATGTGCTTTTGTATGTCTGAGTTACCAGAGCTCTCTCTGACAATTGCTATTTTATAAAATAACATTTTTGAATATCATCAAATAATATTTACTAGACTCATATTTCCTTATTGCCATGTTAAATAACATTAGTATATCATAACTACTAATACTTTGTAAGATCAGGATGTCTTTAAGATTTTTGGAATCAAAGGTGAGTTTAGAGGTAAACTTTCTTGAGCATGACACCTTGAAGGGGTGACTGTAGTTGGGGGACAGGAGGTTGTGGGAAGAAATAACTAGAAGTCGATCTGATCAAGAATGAGAACAAGGTGTTATGTACCCATGTCATGGCCAAAAGCGGTTTACACATTTGTATATGGAAACTGTCAATGTTGGAGAGGTAACTATGTTGTTGATTGTTCCAGTGTCCTGATGCTGAGACCCGGAAAAAGACAAAGCATGAATTCTTGCTGCTTCCACTGCTTCCTGCTCCTTTCTCCTACCCTCCCTTTGTTCCCCACCCTCCAGGACAGCTGGTGTGCAGGCCACTGACTAAGACCCTGTTATCAGATAGACCACTCTTTGAGTCCCACTTCTGTTACTTCTTAGATTTGTGGTCTGGGTCAACGTTCTTAACACCTATGAGTTTCAATTTTCCTCATTGGGAAAAAAGAGGGAGGGGAGCACACACTGATACCAGGGTCACTATATATATGGTTGCACAATTTTTCCATCACACTATTCCAGGGGGTGCCAGACCCATGGGCAGATGTGTGCACATGTCTGTCAGAGTGCTGTGTGCTACACCTTCAGAACTGTAAGCTATGGCTGTGTATGTATCTCCTAATGATTAACTGTTCCTAAATAAATTTTAAAGAATAAATTTATTTCCAGGGTCACAGTTTTCCCTTTTGATATATAGGTTCAAATCTCTGCTTTAAATTTTCTTTCCTGGGGCTGGAGAGATGGCTCAGCGGTTAAGAGCAGTGACTGCTCTTGCAGAGGACCTGGGTTTGATTCTCAGCACCCACATAGTGGCTACAAACCATCCTTAACTCCAGTTCTAGGGGAATCTGAAGCCCTCTTCTGACCTCTGTGGCGTTGCACGACACAGGTGCATTCACATACATGCAGGCAATGCACTCATACATAAAATAAAAATAGTAAATAAAATATTGTTAAAAAGTTTTTTCCTATATCCATGAATATATTTTCCTGAAGTAGTTATTGTTTCTTCTTCAGGATATCCTTTCAAATCTATGACTGGTATGTCATAGATATAATTTCCCTATAGCTATTTTTATAGCAGAAGGCATTTTCTTTTCATTTGGCATGATTTTTGTCATGCTTCTTTACATTTTGTGACTCATTATTTTGAACTGTATTTATTCCACCGAGGAACTTAAAAAGTAAAGTTAATTGCTGAAATATTTGAATTTTCTTTTACTTTAATCCTGAAAAAATTCCAATTTGTCTCTCTCCTTTTGTTACTAGATAACCTCTTTTTTTGAGAAATTCTGTTACATCTTATTTTTAAAATTAATTTTTGTCTAATCAAATAAAACATGTCTATAGTTTGAAAGTTAATAAAAATCACAAGACTATTAGCAAACTAGACTGCTCTCCCTTTATCCTCAGTTTCATAGTAGTTACGGTTATTTATGGTCAGCTATGGTCTGAAAATAATAAAAAAGTGTGAGTATAATATAATAAAATATTGAGAAAGATTCCATATTCATATAACTTAGTAAAGCGTAGTTATAATTTTAAATATGTCTTAATCTCCCATTAGGCTTAATTTATAAACTAACCTTTATACAGGGGGAAAACCCTGTAGTTTATATAGGGTTGAGCACTAGCCCTTTCAGGCATCCCTTGAAAGTCTTAATAAGTAGCATATCCTCCACAGATAAGATGACTGCTGACAGTGCATCCTAACCCTGATTTTCACTGCTTCTTCCATTCTCTCTAGAGACAGGGCTGGAAATATGTAGAGAACTTTGTGGTGTGACCTACACCTTTAAACATGATATTATTAAGCTTCCCAAGGCAGCTTCCACATTTTCCTCTGTTTCCTAATTCCAAGACTTCTATGATATCCTTGTCCTGGTGGGCTTACATTTTATTATCTGTTTTATTTAGTGTACATATTTGTGTTTAAATGATGCATGTGGGTACTCCTGGAGGCCAGAAGAGTATGTCAGACCCCAATTGGAGCTGGAGTTATAGGCAGTTGTGAACTACCTGATGGTACTGAGAACCAAACTTCAGTTCTCTGCAAGCGCAAGGACTCCTAACTGCTGAGCATCTCTTCAATCAACCTCTGTCTACCACCCCCTTATATTTTAAAGAGAAAAATCTTTTCACAGTAGATTTAATGGGACATTTAGAAAGGGCCAAATTACAGTGATTGTTCATACAGCAATCTTTTAGTTCTTTCAGTTGCTTAGTTTCTTTGAAACTGGGAGTCTCTTAGCTTGA